TCCAAAATGGGCACACAGTTGATGTCGACGTTAGGCGGAGCGGGAGGAGCAGGAGGTGCAAGAGGCGCTGGAGGAGCAGGAGGTACAGGAGGTATGGGCGCTGGGCGACTCCTCCTCTGAGTGTAATCGCGAGTTTTGTCAATAACACCTCGACGACTAAAGAGGAAATGAGTGCCTGGAAGGCCCGCCATGGCCTAGGCAGGCCGAGGGAAAACAAGAAAAAACAAGAAAATTGAAAGAAACGATGAGAATGACCCTCGCCCGAGACCCCTCCAACTTCACGACCCGGGTTCCTCTGCAGGGAAAGGGGGAAAACTGTCAAGATCCCCCCGTGGAGGAGCTGATGTGATGAGGTCCAAGGCTTGGTGGTGAGTAATCTTGCCGCATATGCCCATTTCGTGGTTGTACAGCGTCGTGCCTGGCACGGCATGCGACCCTGATTGGGCAGTCGCACACGAAACTGCGTGTGCGCTGGCATGGGCCAGATTCATGTACGATGAATCTGGCCAGGCCAGCAAGGCGTGGCGGGCGTGATTCCAAGCCTTGTTGGCCATGTGATGCGCGTTTCATGCATAGTTACGAACGTTCGAGATGTGGATTGAATCTGCTTTTGAAAAAGCTTCAAGTACATGAAAAAAGGAAAAAGAAAAAGAAAGAAAGAAAAAAAACCATTTCAATTTTGTCATTTTATAGACAATAAAAATCCTCGATTATAAGCGCATATTATAACCCCGGGGGCGCTTCTATCCGGGAGCTGACGGTAAGTGGCGTAGGAACATGCCCTAACCGAGATCTCCGTCGACTGGATATAACTCGATCAACTATGGGTTGAATATCAAATTGACATGAAAATGCTTCTGAATGCATTTGATATTGCAAGCTGGCTACAACTCTGTCCCTGCTTGTTCAAGCCTTGCTAGCGAATGAATAATGGATGTGAGTACAGCTTCGCCTCAAATGTTTCTAAGTGCAACTGGCTACATGATTTGGCTAGGATTCCTTGTGTTTCAAATCCGAGTATAAGTGTTGTAACGCATATGCTCATTGGGAGTATATCAGAGAGCAACGAAAAGCACTTTCTTGGTAACGTCGTGTCGCCATCTCGCCGCATCCCACCACAATTGCTTCGCACTTCAACTTGTCGCCAACCAGACCAACACCAACACCAGCCTCCACAACACTACCGCATCTTCCGCCACAAATGGCGGCGCTCCGCTGTCCTCTGCGCTCCCGTGCGATCCCCGCGTGTTGTTTGAAATCGCCTTCAGCGGGGCAATCGTCACTTCCGCTCACCAACCCCCGCGTGCTGACTACCCCCTCCCTTTCCGCCACTCACTCTAAGCGCGGCGCCGAACCTGCGCAAATCCCTGCGAGAAGAACAATTTTCCCCGCGTCCCGCATTCCCCGCGTTCCTCAGTTCCCCTTTACAGCTTCCGTCGCTTCCCGCATTTCGCGCATTTCCCGCATCTCCCCCGTTTCCCCCTCGTACCGCGATTCCGCGCGATCTCCTCCGTCCGCAGCTAGGGGAGATCGATCCGGCAGAGATCGGCTTCCGCTTGCGCTGCCGCCCCCGCTTCGGCGCTGAACCTGGCGCAAGTTTCCGCGCAGCTGCCGGGAGATCTCTCGGAATACATGGCGCGAGTCCGCGAGTGCAACGCGGGGCTGGTGGGTGGTGAGGGGGAGAAGGGAGAAGGGGAGACGGGGGTTTGGGGGAGTGGGGAAGGAGGGGGGAATTTTGGGGTTGCGAGGGTGGGTGGGCGAGTGGGGAGGTGAGGGGTTGTGAGGGTGGGTTGGTGGGGGACCCGGCTAGCTGGTAGGTAGATGGGTAGATGGGTATATATATGGGTAGATGGGTATATGGGTAGATGGGTATATGGGTAGATGGGTAGATGGGTATATGGGTAGATGGGTAGATGGGTATATGGGTATATGGGTAGATGGGTAGATGGGTATATGGGTAGATGGGTAGATGGGTAGATGGGTATATGGGTAGATGGGTAGATGGGTAGATGGGTAGATGGGAAGATGGGTATATGGGTGCCTGGGTTGTTAGCTGTGGCTTTGGTGGTGGGTTGATGGCCCGGATTGGGACATTTCAAAGCATATGCGTTAGTCGCTTGCATGTACTTCTCTTCCCATCAACTGCGCACACCTCGGCCGGCCAGCCCATCACATCGCCTCGAAAACTCTCACGAGCACATTGGATTGAAAGTATGAAAAAGGTCCCTCCCCCAAATCCTTCCTCCTTTGCCCCCTCCTCCCTAAGATAAGACCATCTCTCTAACAGCACAGCTCATAGCGAACCAGACACACCCTCGTCTCACCCCACAAAGCTTCAGCGCTTCTCACGTCACCCCCACTTGCCATGCCACTTCTCTCCCCATCCCCACTTGCCTCATTCGTCTCTCAGGAGCATCGGTCGGAGTTCATTCCCTTCGTTGTGAACGGGGAGGTTGTGGGGTACATTCACCACAGGTGAGTACATTCACCACAGGTGAGTACATTCACCACAGGTGAGTACATTCACCACAGGTGAGTACATTCACCACAGGTGAGTACATTCACCACAGGTGAGTACATTCACCACAGGTGAGTACATTCACCACAGGTGAGTACATTCACCACAGGTGAGTACATTCACCACAGGTGAGTACATTCACCACAGGTGAGTACATTCACCACAGGTGAGTACATTCGTGAGTACATTCACCACAGGTGAGTACATTCACCACAGGTGAGTACATTCACCACAGGTGAGTACATTCACCACAGGTGAGTACATTCACCACAGGTGAGTGCAAAGATCACCAAGGTGGTAATACGACCGGTTTATAGCTGTGGTTACATTGCGTGGCGTACTGAAAAAGGATTGAGATATATCCACCACAAGTGAGTGCATGTGCAAGGAAGGTGATTAAAGGTGTGCCTGTAATGCAAGTTATAGCTGTGCTTTGAAGCAATGAGGCATATCCCCCATGACAGGGAGTGCAGAGACCATAGGCGTGTGACCATACGGTCGGTGGATTTACTTCTATCTGTGACTACGTAGTGTACTGAGAAAATGATGAGGCTTATCTACTACTGGTGAATGCAGAAACCATGATAGCTACATCGCTTTCTCAATAATGGTGTCACTGTGACGTGGCTTATAACTGGCTCCTTATCATTGCCCTCCCACTCACGCCCTTCCCTCGTCCGCCATCCACGCATTGAAGCTTTTGTATGTTTTGACTCAATTCAACACAAACCAGAGCTCACCCACGCCCTGCCCTGCCCTTCTGTGCCGTTCATCCATTGCAGCTTCTGGCAGCACTTGGAGCCGTTTGGAGGTGTCTTTGCCATGCACCTCCACGCACCCACCACTGCACAAGGTGCTGCTGCTGCTGGGCGGGTGCTGTCGTTTTCAGGCAGGTTGGAGGCAGCAGGAGCTGCTGAGCGCACAGAGGCTGTGGCAGGGGTGCTGCAGCGGCTGCGCGAGCAAGGCGTGGTTACTGGGTGGCGCAATGAGGTGAGTGGAGAGCGTTGGAGTGTGGTGAGAGGAGATGGGGGAGGAGGGGGGAGGAGTGGGGCGTGGGGGGGGAGACGTAGGGGAAAGGGAAAGAGGGGGGATGTTCTGAGGGGAGAGAGGGGGTTTGTTTATTTATATCAGACCGCTTGGAAGCCGTCCAAATTCTCCTCTACTCCCCTCGCGGTTTCATAACCCCTTCCCTATTTCTCCTCCCCTCCCCTACCCGCCTCCCTCTCCCCCACATTCCCTCGCCCATCATCCTATCATCCCCCTTCATTCGTCCCGCCCGCAACTATGCCCCTGCCGGGGTCCACCATTCACGCTACCAGCCTCCCTCCTCCCTCCCTCCCTCTTCTCCTTCCCCTCCCCCTCCCCCTCCCTTCTCCTTTCCCCATGCAACCAGATGTACCCAGTGGGTGCCTCCTTCCACGCGCCACCAGCCTTCCTCATCGAGCGAGCAGCAGCACCTCTCTTCGGCACCAAGGCATACGGCGTGCACATGAACGGCTACACACACCTGCCCTCCACCTCCTCTTCCTCTTCTTCCTCCGCCTCCTCCTCTCTGCACCTGTGGGTTGCTCGGCGATCCCCCTTAAAGCCCACGTTCCCCAACCAACTAGACCACCTCGTGGCAGGCGGGCAGGTGAGATTGAGGGAGGACGGGGTTGGTTGATGGGGAGAGGGTTGATGGTGAGAGGGTTGATGGTGAGAGGTTTGATGGGGAGAGGGTTGATGGTGAGAGGGTTAATGGTGAGAGGGTTGATGGTGAGAGGGTTGATGGTGAGAGGGTTGATGGTGAGAGGGTTGATGGTGAGAGGGTTGATGGTGAGAGGGTTGATGGTGAGAGGGTTGATGGGTTACTAATCATTCAATTTGAGACAGATGCATTAACGCCTGTTTACAAGTTGAGCCCCCTCGGAGCCCACATTCTTCAACCGGATGGACCATCTAGTGGCTGGTGGGTGGGTGAGGGGAGAGAGAAGGGTGGATGATTGGGTTAATTTGATGGGCGATGGTTTAGTCCAAAGACCTCTAAACAATCAATCCCCCTTAAGCCCACGTTCCCCGACCAGCTGGATCATCTGGTGGCAGGCAGGCAGGTGAGGGGAGAGAGAAGGGAAAAGAGGGTTGTATGCATGTATGCATGCTGATTATTAATACGAAAGGCCAGTCGAGAGGGTTGACGGGTGAGTGATTGTTCGATGTGAGGTGCTGCTAAAGTTGACGAACGCCACGAGGCAAGGTACGCTAAGGCCCACTTTCCCTGAGCAGCTGGACCAGCCAGTGGCTGGCGGCAGGGCAGGAGAGAAGGGATGATAGGGTTGATTGGGGAGAGGGTTGGTGAGGGAGAGGGTCAATGGGGCAGTGAGCGCTCAGTTTGTTGCATAGTTGAATCACGCTCAATCTGGTGAGCTACACAATATGTGTAACACTCTATGTGTATTCCTTCCATTACTCCTCACCTACTCGCTTCCTCCATTGTTCCTCCCAGCCGCATGGCATCAGCTGCAGGGACAACATGATAAAGGAGTGCGAGGAGGAGGCGGACATTCCCAGGCACCTGGCAGAGAGGTGAGCAATTGGAAAAGGGGCGAAATTTCCTGCCGACTGAAACACTTACGAGTAGAACAAAAAAAGGCATGGAAAAATATGGAAAGAAAAATAAACAAACACACACACACACACATACACACACACACACATACACACACACACACACACACACATACACACACACACACACACACACACACACACACACATAGCCATGAGCAACCGACCCAAAAATTGTAAGATAGGTAGAGCAGATCTAGATCTGCTCCAATCCAAAGTACCACACCCAAGCTCCCACACTACTATTCATTAAGGTCGTATCCCGGGCTGGTGGCAAGATACTGTTGGTGGCATGACACCAACTCGAAAAACGCATGGAGGAATAAACCTCCTGGTGTCAGCTAAACCGACCAACCCCATCGCGGGAAATCGTGCAATGTGCCCAACATTGACACCAACCTGGAGCCGCACTCACGCGCGGCTCCACCTGGTGGCAAGCGAATTTCCCGCTTGCCACCAACAGTATCTTGCCACCAGCCCGGGATACGACCTTACTACAACTCCCTCTTAAGATGCGTCATACGTTTAGGTTAGATAGTGCACTGCTCATTTTTTTTTTTTTTTGAAAGCTAAAGGGGAGCATTCCAGCTAAACCCTGGATTTTTTTTAACCCTGTTCTGTTTTGTACTTGATACTCTCGCTGAACCGTCTGACGCACATGCCTTTTACATTTCCTTGTGCATCATTTTTACCCCCAAACCTAACTAGGTTCAAGTTCGCACAAACGTTTCAAAATTTGAGCAAACCTTTAGGGTTCGCTGATACACATACAAACTTCAAACCTCAACATAAAAAAAAAAATATAATAAATTAAAAATAAAAAAATTGAGCAAACAAGTTCGGTTCGGTTTGACCCCCATGCAGGTTCGAGAAAGTTTGAGATGTTTGAGTTCGGTTCGTGCTCTTATCTACACACACACACACACTCTCTCTCTCTCTCTCTCTCTCTCTCTCTCTCTCTCTCTCTCTCTCTCTCTCTCTCTCTCTCTCTCTCTCTCTCTCGAACGGCCCTTCGTATTAATATCATCGCGGTACAAACAAGGTACGTCAGCAAACACATGTAGCAAAGCAACTATATCAAACCCCTATCCCGTCACCTCTACTGCCGCTCCCCCCCCTTCCCCTCCCGGCCCTAGTGGCCGGAGGGGTCTTCTACCAACTGGTATAGCTGGTCCTCGCTCAGTGGAGTGAACGGACCCTGCAGGCCAAGCACATCCGCTGTAAGTGCCTCATGGGTCTTGTCCCTGAGGGCGTTGGCTTGGGCTCTCTGCAGGGTCACGCTCCAGCGCTGGCGGTACTCGGTGAGTAGTTTCGCCGCCTCCCTCGACTTCGGTGGGGCGTTGAACCGCCGCTCAGCCGCCAGCTCCGCGCAACTGCGAAGGAAATCGAGGACTCCAGCTGAGGGGCACCCGTAGGTCTCCACGGCCATGGCGTAGAAGCCCACCCACGGGCTCCTCCCGGCATACTTGGTCTCCTTCTTGTCCGCTTGCATCCTGGCCGCCCACCCGGGTGCCTTGCGAGCGTACTCATCCTGGTGGGAGACGGGGTCCGTGACTGTGATGTCACATATCCACACTGCGCCGGTGTCGGGATGGCGGATAGAGATATCCGCTTTGAGGTTTTCGACTGGTGAGTATGCCATTGTCTCCTTGTGCACCGTGAATCCCGCTTCAGCCGCTATCTTCGCGCACTCATCCCTCAAAGCATTGTGAGTGCTGATTCTCCCCCCCCCCCCCCTTTTTCACACCGCATCAAGTGGTTCGGCAGGCGATGGTCCGGGAAGGTGGTGCGGTACCTGCAGTTGCAGCGTCTCGGCACAGGTAGGGGCGGTCCCAGGCGGAAGGATGCCGCGGTGGAGAACTGGGAGGGTCCGAGGCGGAGGGAAGGGATCAGGGGAATGGCCAGCAGCCAATCCCCCGCCTCCGGTCCTAAGAGGGACTGTAGCCTCTGTGTGTGGCCGAACAGTGGGTTCGGCTCCATGTTCCGTGAGCTGTCCAGCAGTCGGATGTAGCGGGCTGTGTGCACTGCGAGGGAAAGGGCTTGCTGTAGTTTCGGCCCGTTAGGCTTTTGTCTCCCTGTCTGCAAGGCGTCTACTCCCTCAGGTGGCAGTTCGGTTTCCAGGGCGGCGAGGCGTCGAGGGAGGAGGGATGTGGACTCTTCGTCCGCCTCCATCAGCGGCAGCAGGCCTGATAGGCTCGGGTTTGCCGAGTCTCCGAAGGAGCGTAGCAGGTGGGCGGCCGAAACAACCGAAGCCAGGTAGGCGAATCTCCCTTCCACTGCAGGGTTGGTGATGCCGAGGCCCCCTAGGGACGCGGGCAGAGCGGCTTGGTGCCAGATCCTGTCCCTCTCAGCCCGGTCCCTGGGGATACTTGTATGTGCCGCGGCCAGGTAGGTGTGGAGCAGTGACTCCCCCCAAGCCGACCACTCCTCCGACTGCAGGGCTTCAGGGGGCGTGGCTCTGGCCAGGAACGAGGCGCGGCGGCTCACGCAGCGGGTGAGTAGTAGCAGACAGAGTTGGGGGTCCATCTGGGCGAGGAGCGTGAGCGGTTCCGACGCTGCTGCAAGGCGCTCACGAACACGTGCTTCACAGCCGATGGGGGGGCCAATGGGGCTGCCGAGAACGCGGACTCCATCTGGTGAGATCGTGATGCCCGCAGGTAAGGTGGCGGGGTCAAGCGCAGCTGCGGACCACGCCTCGCATTTTGCCGGGTTGTGGGCAAGCCCAAGGAGGCGGAGGGCTTCTGTGAGGTGTGTGAATGCCGCCGTGCAGCTCGCTGCCTCCCCGAGCAGAGTGATGTCATCTGCATACGCCAGAAACACCACGTCCGGGTGAGCCGCTGCTGCTTGGACGAGGCAAGGGTGGATGCTGGCTGCAAACAGCATGGGTGGCACGAGAAGAAGAGAAGCGTAAGAGAAGCGTACGAGGGGCACTAGGACTTCGATTTCGGTGCCTCTCAGGCCCTCGAACACTGCTGCGCGCTCTACAGCATTGAAGGCATTGGCTAGATCTATTTGAAGCACCGTCGCTCCTGGGAACTCCTCCAGGTAGGTACGTGCGGTGTGTATTGCCGCTTCTATTCCTCCCGCGATTGCTACTCCAAACTGAAGCGGGGTGAAGTGCTCGCGCGCCGCTGGAGCGGCAAGAAAAAGGGCCGCCTTGGCCACGAGGCGGAGTAGGCATTCGCCTACGGCTATCGGCCGCGTACCACCCTGCGGCTTCGAGAAGGCAAGGAGACGTGACGCTGATAGGAGGTCCGCCACGTCCGCCTTCAGTTTTCCAGCAAGCGCTGTGTTGGTAAGAGCATGCAGCTGCACGAAAACGTCTCCGTTCCCCAGGGCCGCGTCTCTAAGGTGCTCAAAGGTGGTGCCTGAGGGCCCCGCCCCCACTCCGTTGGGGCATTTTGCTAGCAGCCGTCTGAAATCCCTGGCAGCGATGGAAGGGACGCTCTCTGGGGCGAAGTCGTGCACCCAGGGAGGGATGGCCGAGGTGGCGTCTGGATGTCTGGCTGTGAGCGCGCTGAGAACTTCGGCGCTCGGCGTGCAGACGGGCGTGGCAGTCAGGGTCTGCAGTGACTTCGCCAGGTTCCCTCTCTTAGCCAAGCCTTCGGCACGCGAGAGCTTGCCAGTGTCATCAGGTACGTGTCGTGGTTGGGGGTCGCTGGTAACCGCGCCAGCTGCCTCGTCGTACAGGTTGCGCCACAGGCCTTGGCGGAATCGCTTCAGCCTCGCGCCCATGGTTTTCCAGTCGGGGGAGCGTGCTGACGAGGTGCGCAGCAGAATGCGCGGGAGAAACATCAGCAGCTTCCAGCCCGCAGTGGAGTCAGGGTTTTTCGCCAGGTGCAGCAGTGGGGTCAGAAGGCATATCGCGAAGGATTCGCGAAGTGGGCGGGGTGGGTGACGGGCGAGGGGGGGCTGCCTGCTGTCGCGCAGCGGGCAGAGGTCCCAGTTGGCGACGTCGTCAAAAAGGTCCTGACGCGTCGCCAAATCGTCCGCGCTGATGATTGGGGTGGCAGGCTCGGGAGCTGGGTTATTGGCAGGCGATATGGTAACCCGGGTGTTGGGGGCGGCTCGATTTCCCCTCGCGGCCCGATTTTGGGGTTGTCGAATTGTGGATGCGGTTCGACCCCCAGCTGGGTCAATCTCTTCCACCAATTCCTCCTCCGTTGAGGGATTCGAACTTCCCTCTCTTTCAAGGATAAAGCCAGGGTCACCCCCAGATCCATTTTCAGATTCGACACCAAGCGCTTCTCCTCCCTCCCTAGCTCTCTGCCGCAGGACCCGCTGTGCTGCTCTCGCGAAGCTGCTCGCGCCTCTTCTACGCGTCGAGGCGCCGCGTCCGCGGCGGTTGCTGCCTTGTCCCACCCGAAATCCGCGCGTTTCTCCTTCTCTTGCTGCTCCCGAACGCCTCGCGGTTGGCGCGCCGTCAGCACCGCCCCTCCTTTGACGGTGCGCTGGCGTCGGCGGCGGTGGGATCGGCCGTGATGGACCCATCCCGGGGTCAGGATCCTGCGCTGGAAGGTACAGCGGAGAGCGCGCAGCAGGGGCTGGTGCTGGAGCCGCCCGCGTCTCGTCCGCGTCCCTCCGCGCGCCCCTCCGCAAGTGAGCCCGTCCGACGCTTCGAACGCGGCCTTTCTCTTCCTCTTCGGGGCGTCCCTCAGCCCCCCTCGCCAGAGTATTCGCGGGCCCCTACCCGTGTGGGGTCCAACCGCCCTGCTGGTGCGCCTCGACAGGAGCATGGGCGTTCACCACCTCGTCAGCCACCGCGGCAGCATTCTCCCTGTCGGCGCTCCCCTGAGCATCAGGAATCGCGGCAGCAGTCTCCTCGCCGCCGATCTCCTGAGTGTCGTGGTGACCACCGGGACCGCGCTGGCGGTCGTCTGTCCCCCGCGGGCCATCGGTCTCCTCGCCATCAATCCATCTCCTCGTGGTCGGGCAGGCCAGCGCTCACCCCGAGCGCGATCCCCCGCGCAACGGTCTCCGCGGCGATCTCCGGCGACGCGGGGGAGGGGGTCGCCTGGGCGACGCTGGGATTCGGGTCGCCGCGAGCAGTCCCCTCCGCGTCCGCGCTCGGCTGGTTCTAGCGGCCGTCGTGGCCGGCGGAATGGAGGTGGGCGCGGCGGTAATGGGCGTGGGCAGGATCCAGCCCTTGATCAAGCCGCGAATGCGTTCGCCGAAGTGGTGCGACAGGCCCGGGCAAGTGGGGAGGAGACGCACGTACACATCGCGGTGACCAACGGCCCTCCCCTCGAACCGAGCCCTGGCCTGGCGGCTCCTCTGCGCGCGCCGACGCTGCGCGAATATCTGCCCGCGCGGGAGGGGAGGGCTCCGTTTCGCACCCCCCGTCCGGTCCAGGGCTTCTCCGTGCCGCGCTTCTCTGTTGGCCAGACTCCTGGCTGGCCGACGGCGTTTCCGCGCGGAGCACCGACTGCACCTCCTCCCATTCCCGCGGGGAGAGACCCCATGCTGACCATGTGTCGTCTTCTGAATTTGGTGGAGGCGTGCGAGGTGGTGGCGAATCTGCAGCTGGCGGTGTGTGGGGCCACGCGGAGCTTTCCGAGCAGTTACGGTCCAGGATCCCGAGGATCCTGCGTGTCTTTGGCAGAATCGCTTGAGTCGCCATTGGCACCCATGTCAGAAGCGCCCGCCGGGGTAGCGCCCTTAGCCCGTACTTTCCCCCGCCACGTGGGGGATCTTGTAGGGGTTGCTCGAGTCGGGACTCCGGTGGACACACTCCAGTCGTCGGCGCACCTCCTGCTGTCGATGTCGGCGTGCATGCGTTCCATGCTTGAGGTAGAGGGGGCGGAGCCGTACACGTTGTAGGCCTCCGCCTCTTGTAATATTGCATGTCTGTTGCTTCTTTGCCGTAGGTCTTCTCCCTTGCGTGTGGCTTTGCTTATGCTCCCCCCTATAAGCTGTTCCGTTGTGTGTTGACTTGCCTCCCCAAACGCGCGGCCGAAGGCCGCCGGCGCGAGCGCCGAAAATGAACCCACGACAAAATAATGAGGAGGAGCAAGCTAGAACAGGCCTTAAATAGGACAGGAGGGCAGAGGGCAGAGGGAGAAGGCCGAGGGCAGAGGGCTAACGTTCCTCCTCTCTCTCTCTCTCTCTCTCTCTCTCTCTCTCTCTCTCTCTCTCTCTCACACACACACACACACACACACACAAACATAAACACACACAAAACTAACGAGTTACTAACGAGTTACTAACTTACTTACTAAACAGATGGATCTGACAACCAATCAAACAACCAAAACGTCTAAAGTGGTGATATCGAATCCATGGAAATGCCCTGGTCGCCTAGCGCGAGCTAGGTGTTTTACAAGCAGGTGGTTTTTGTTCTTGCATCATTCGTTTGTCTCTCATGATTGCAGACCATCACGTGATTCGTTTGTGCTACTCGTTTGTGGCAGTTTGCTCCTAGTTTGCCCCACAAAACCATTCGTTTCTCTCTCATGATTGCAAACTTTGTCCTACGTGAGGCAGTTTGCTCTCCTGAGTTCCCCGGCTCTTGTCTCGTGGTTTCGTTGGCTGGTGGCGCTATGGATGGCATGTGATGGAATGAAACGGAGTGGATTGATGTGGGATGGAATGGCACGGAATGAAGGGCAGTGCCGGTGGGAGTGGTGAGCTATGAGACGGTGACAGCAGCCAACACGCTCAAGAGGGATGTGCTCTTTTGCTACGACCTCCTGCTGCCGCCCGACTTCACTCCTAGAAACACAGGTGCGTTGCAGTTGCACCCCCAGAAAAACAGGTGCAAGGCAGGTAGATCGGAGTGGAGTGAAGTGCAGTAGCGGTGGGAATATGAGACAGAGACAGCAGCCATCACGCTTAAGAGGGACGTATTCTTTCTGCTACAACCTCCTGCTGCCACCTGACTTCACCCCCAGCAACACAGGTGCGTCGCAGGTTGCAGGTTGCCTTTGAAGTTGGCTCTGAACCCATCACTTTTGCTTCTGCTCTGAAGTCAAACGTCACAACTTCTGCTTCGACCTCCTGCTGCCGCCCGACTTTATCCCCCGTTACACAGGTTGTCCACATTCTGAATCTTTCCTTGCCTTGTCTTTGTACAAAGACAATATACACATCTTGTCTGTGCTTGTTGTTGTAATAGCGTGTCGTTTGACAGACTACAAAAGAATGTTAAAAAAAAACCACAAAAACAATACGAGCAGTGTGACAAACTGGGCACGGTTATGTTAAGAACAATACCAGCAAAGACATTTAGATTGTGTGCTTATCTAACATATGTGAGAAACTATGTGCAGAGGTACATGTTGTGCTGGTGGTGTCTCTGCCATGCACCACTGGTGTTGTCTCTGCCATGCACCACTGGTGGTGTCTCTGCCATGCACCACTGGTGGTGTCTCTGCCATGCACCACTGGTGGTGTCTCTGCCATGCACCACTGGTGGTGTCTCTGCCATGCACCACTGGTGGTGTCTCTGCCATGCACCACTGGTGGTGTCTCTGCCATGCACCACTGGTGGTGTCTCTGCCATGCACCACTGGTGGTGTCTCTGCCATGCACCACTGGTGGTGTCTCTGCCATGCACCACTGGTGGTGTCTCTGCCATGCACCACTTCTGCTGGTGGTGTCTCTGCCATGCACCACTTCTGCTGGTGGTGTCTCTGCCATGCACCACTTCTGCTGGTGGTGTCTCTGCCATGCACCACTTCTGCTGGTGGTGTCTCTGCCATGCACCACTTCTGCTGGTGGTGTCTCTGCCATGCACCACTTCTGCTGGTGGTGTCTCTGCCATGCACCACTTCTGCTGGTGGTGTCTCTGCCATGCACCACTGGTGGTGTCTCTGCCATGCACCACTTCTGCTGGTGGTGTCTCTGCCATGCACCACTGGTGGTGTCTCTGCCATGCACCACTTCTGCTGGTGGTGTCTCTGCCATGCACCACTTCTGCTGGTGGTGTCTCTGCCATGCACCACTTCTGCTGGTGGTGTCTCTGCCATGCACCACTGGTGGTGTCTCTGCCATGCACCACTTCTGCTGGTGGTGTCTCTGCCATGCACCACTGGTGGTGTCTCTGCCATGCACCACTTCTGCTGGTGGTGTCTCTGCCATGCACCACTTCTGCTGGTGGTGTCTCTGCCATGCACCACTTCTGCTGGTGGTGTCTCTGCCATGCACCACTTCTGCTGGTGGTGTCTCTGCCATGCACCACTTCTGCTGGTGGTGTCTCTGCCATGCACCACTTCTGCTGGTGGTGTCTCTGCCATGCACCACTTCTGAACGTGTTGTCTCTGCCATGCACCACTTCTTCTGGTGGTGTCTCTGCCATGCACCACTTCTGCTGGTGGTGTCTCTGCCATGCACCACTTCTGCTGGTGGTGTCTCTGCCATGCACCACTTCTGCTGGTGGTGTCTCTGCCATGCACCACTTCTGCTGGTGGTGTCTCTGCTATGCACCACTCCTGCTGGTGGTGTCTCTGCCATGCACCACTTCTGCTGGTGTTGTCTCTGCCATGCACCACTTCTGCTGGTGGTGTCTCTGCCATGCACCACTGGTGTTGTCTCTGCCATGCACCACTTCTGCTGGTGTTGTCTCTGCCATGCACCACTGGTGTTGTCTCTGCCATGCACCACTTCTGCTGGTGTTGTCTCTGCCATGCACCACTTCTGCTGGTGTTGTCTCTGCCATACACCACTTCTTCTGGTGGTGTCTCTGCCATGCACCACTGGTGTTGTCTCTGCCATGCACCACTTCTTCTCCCACCAACACGTGTTTGTTCCTCCCCTTAATCTCTTCCTCTAATCTTCAAGGCTCCTCGAAAGTTATTCGCGTGTTCGTCCCTTTCCCAAGAACTCTTCCTCTACCGCTGCCAGCAAATATGCTTCTGTTTCTCTCTTTCTCATTCGATCCCCACTATGCTTTCTACCATTTCCCCCACCAACAGACAGCAAAGTAGCACATAGAACTTGTGTCTCTCAATCCCTTTTCGTTTCTTTCTCTTCCCCAATTTCTTCCACCAACAGATGGGGAAGTGGCAGAGTTTTCTCTGATGCCCATTGAAGCTGTGGCTAATATTGTGGCCAACACTAAGGAGTACAAGGCGAACTGCAACCTCATTATTATCGACTTCCTTATAAGGCACGGGTGAGTGTGGAGCGCTGTGCTTGCTTGCTCCCCATCTGCCCATGAGTTACCTCATGGAGGGCTTCACTACTCCCATCTCCCCTAATAAGACACTTCTCTGGATAATGACTCGTGAGGGGGACTGGTACTGCACTGCATGCATGAGGATGATTGCATTGTAGAAAGCTGGTTGCTGGTGTGGGTGTCACGGACTCACACCTGGCAATGAAAGTGCTCCTCTTGTTCCTCTTCACCCCCCCTGCAACCATCCTATTTTGAGGCGCTGCGAGAATTTACAGGTAGAGAGACGGGTTCTGTCCACTAGACGGCACTCAAGAATGCTAATGTGCGGCTTATATCGGTCTTTCTCACCCTCTGCAACCACCTTAATGTTCAACAACCCAGTCCCTTGCATTGTGTCATGTCTCCCCATCCCATCAGCATGATCTCTCCCGATTCACCCCGCTATCTCGAGCTGCTGACGGGCCTTCGCCAGGGCTCCTGTGCCTGATTCTTTTGTGCCATCGCATCGACGCGAGCGAGCCACGGTGGAGATTTACTCAACTGTCGCTCAGATAATACCCTTAGCAAGGAGGCGCTTGGCTACAGAAAAATCTTCGCAACTTGTTTCTGAGCAGGCCTCTCGTTATCAGGGTAAAATACCCTTTTTGCACTGACTGGCGGCCGCTTTTTTTCAGTTACCCTTTCACAGGCAGGGTAGTGGATTTTTTACCCTAGGCCAGAAAGTGTAAGTTTTTTTGTACCCTTTGAAAAACAGGGTAAGGAACATATTTCTCTGACTGTAACACTGTACAATCCCAGATAGAATGATACCGAAAGCTCCGTAGCGAGACCAACGACAACTCGGGCCCCTGCAAAATGCTCTCTATCAGCGAGACACAAACCCGTAACCTTTCAGAAGTAAATTATGATCGAATCAACTGAGCCGCAAACTACTGAATAATTATAAACCCTAATTGTAAATGCCGTTTGTTTTTAAAACACCCTGGCCAGACAGACTAACATTTTTTTAACCCTGCATTTGTCAGGCAAACAAATAAGTTACCCTACGCATCAGGGTTGACTACCGTATTCCCCCGGATATACCACCCTAGGGTGCTATGATAACTACACAAAAAAAAAGGGGGGGGTCTTGTCATCGGAAAAAGCTACATTGCACCCGGGTCTTTACATAATGTATATTTTTTTTTATAGCGTAAAACGTTTAGTACTAAATGTACATCTGTGCCGTGGTGGTAGATTGCTGGTTGGGTGCGCAAAACCGAGGACAGGGCGAAAACGTTTTGCGCGAGGGTTAGCTGCCACATTGCAAGCTCCAACAAGGCCCACTGTCAGGCCCTGATTGGACGAAATCACACCCCCTCGTCGCACGACGAGGATTCATGCAGGTGACAATGGCGGAGTCCCCGCAACAGCCTCGGTTGCCTCGCTGGGCGGGCACATCATTGAACTGTAGATGGATTATCATTGGAAACCCTGTGCTACTTAGGCAAAAACTGCAATTATACCCGTACATAACACCCCCCCCCGGGTGCTATATAGGATGCCCCCAAAAGGGGGGGTATAGTAGAAACGAGGCCCGCTATAGCACCCCCCCCGCACAAGCCACCCGGGGGGTGCTCTATTTCGGGGGGTGGTATGTCCGGGGGAATACGGTATACCTAGAACCCTGATTACTAAGGGTGGCCCAAAACCAATCTGGAGCCCTGTTTCTGAGTAACAATCTATGTATTGAAATGTACTACCCGTAAATACGGTACCTTCCAACATCCGGCAATCAGTCTGGAAACTGTACTGCATCAGAGGGAGGGGCCGTGGATTCATTCACATCAAAATAACCCCTCATGAAGGTGAAGGTACATCACTACAGCATCTACCAAAGCAGCTCATTATGAAAACCGCCAGTTTCCAGAATGGACGTCCTCATACCGGTATCTCGTCTCGGTAAGAGCCCGGTGGTTTACACCATTACTATGGTATATGCTGCCTCCCTCTGGTGTAACTCCTGCACTGAGCAACTTCCTTCATTATTCTCAAATGTGACCCAGGTTTAAACTTATGTGCGGTCCGTATGGCAGGTCGCATACTCCCATATACAATGCCTCCCCTCATAATCACTCCTGCACGGACCCGCATCCTTCAACATACACTAGCAACCTCTTGCATTATTCTCAAGAGTGACTAAGGTATACTCACGGCATGTGCAGTCTGTCTGACAGGTCATCTGCTCCCATATATGTTGCCTTCCTCGAGAATCACTCCCGCTCGGAGCAGCCCACTTCGATCCTTTGCCTCAACCTTGCTTGCCTCCAAGTTCAAACGCCGCGACCTCGGGAAGCTTCCCAGCAAATCCCTAATGGCAGCTGAAGTGATGGCAAAGCATCCAACCATGCTCAACCGCGTCAGACTCTCCAGCCTGCTTTGTGCGACCACCCGGTCTGAAAAGCAATTATTGTATTCCACCGTTAGCAATTCCAAAAAGGGACAAGCGCGGAGGAGCAGCAGTAACTGTTCGTCCTCTAGCCCAGAGCAAGACAGCAGTGCGAGTTCCATGAGCCTTCCAAAGACAGCTGCTAGTGCAATGGACTCAAAAGTCTGGGGCTGGGCGCTTGGGCTTGGAAAGGAAAATGAAGAGGACGAAGGTGAGGAGGAGGGTGGACTGGGGGAGATGAGGCACATGGGAGGGGATGCAGAAGGGAGGTGCGGAGGCAGCCAGGTAGGCTCGGGAGTGGCTGTGAAGTGAAAACGCTGGAGACATAGGTCCTTCAAAGGAGGGCAGATTATTTCCACAGGGATTCCAGAAATGTGTTTCCTGGATTTCACAGGGATTGAGTTATCAGAGGGGTCCCCAGCCATGCTTGGGTTGAAGGGTGTGACTCTGCTTCTGCTGAATGAATCTTGGCCGCCCTTTGAGTTGCCGCTGCTGCTACTGCTAATGGTGTTTCCGAGGCCTCTAACTTCTCCCTTCCGTTGTATCGCATCTTCGAGCCTTCTCTCCCCTTGCATCCCTGTCCCCTGCTCTGATGCTTCAGCAACCCCTCCTTCCGCTTGCCCCGATTTTGCTGCTGCATCGCTTACGACTGTTGTCCCATCTACTGCTGCCACAGATGTAGCACCAGGAAAGCCACTTCCTACTGAAGCAGAAGCTTCCGCACCAGAAACAGAAGAGCCACCAGAAGAGCCACCAGCAGCAACAGAAGAGCCACCAGCAGCAGCAGGAGAACCAGAGGTAGCAGCAGCCGCACCAGTAACAGCAGATATATCTGGACCAGCAGGAGGAACCCCAGCATCAGCAGCAGCAGAAGCAGGAGCATCAGCAGCAGCAGAAGCAGGAGCATCAGCAGCAGCAGAAGCAGGAGCATCAGCAGCAGCAGAAGCAGGAGCATCAGCAGCAGCAGAAGCAGGAGCATCAGCAGCAGCAGAAGCAGGAGCATCAGCAGCACCAGACGCAGGAGCAGCAGCAAAATTGCCACCTGCTGCTGCTGCTAGCCCTGCCCCATGTGCGGGATGCCCTGCAGCGCTACGAGCCACACGCCAGCAAAAGCGTTCGAAGGTCTCATACGTGTTCCTCCTCTCCTCACCCAGCTTCCGCGTTAGTGACAGCATCACACCCAGCGCCTTCGCGCTAGGACTCGCATCTTCCACAGAAGCTCCCCCCTCCCTCTCACCATCACCATCACTCCCAGTCACAGCCAGAGCATTATCAAGTAGCACACCATCCATCTCTTCAAGCAGTGACGCTCCTCCTTCGCCCTCTCCTTCCCAGGTATTCCTCTTCACAAACACGCCAGCAGCTTCGGAAGCAGAAAATGCTCAATCAACGCATCCTCCCTCTCTCTCGCTGCGACTTGGTCCAAAATTGCCACACGCACCGACCGACACAAGGCGATAGCTGACCTAATGCTGTCGGTTGCTGATTCGATCTGGCTTAGGGAAGTTTCACCCCAAAGCATCCGGACCGTATCGGCATTAGCGATCGCTCTTCTTATGGATTCGTTTGCTTCTTTCATCAGTTTGATGGCACAATTGCAGGCCGCTATCAAGTCCGCATGCGCTGCTGCTGCTGCTGTTCGAATATCCACATACTCATACTCACACTCCCTCCTCCCTTTGTTCCTTGAGTCGACTATTTTTGGTGCTACTGCTGCTGCTGCTGTAGTTCCTGCTGCCCTCTCTCCTGCTGAAGGTGCTGCAGCAGCAGAACTCGTAATTCCTACAGCCCCCTCTCTTTTGCCTTCCTTCACCGCTTCACTTCCCTCAACCTCACCTTCCTCCCTACCCTCTCCACGCTCCTCTTTACACTCCACTCCCACACCTCCATCTCCTCCTCCCCTCCGCACCACCACACCACCACCAGCATACTCACCAGGCTTTCAAGAGGCATCTGCTGTGTCACTGCCGCCGTCGCCGCTTCCCCCAAATCCGCCTCTCCCACACTGGCTCCCCCAGTCAGCCAATCATCATCAAACCCCCACCGCCTTCTTTCCATTTCATCCTCCGCCTCATTCTCACAATCCCTAACGCTGCGACCTGGTGCTATCTCCCACCCGACCTGTTATCATCAGAGCTTGCAGGCCTCTGCAGTGGGCAAGCAGGCCGGGGCGGAAGGAGGATAATCCGGAAAATGAAAGCGTGTGCAGGTGCGGGGGAGGGGCGTGAAACAGAGACCAGATTCCTTGTGCGCTGAAGAGATGATATGTGGTGGTGTGCAGGGAGAGGGAGGAGAGAGCTGGGTTGGCTTGAGCGAGGGCGGTGAGAGAGTGACTGGAGATCAAGGGGCAGTCGATTATGCCCAGTTCAGTCAGCGTGTGGAGGGAGCGAGCGAGGGCGTGCAGCTCAAAAGGGTCAATGCTGCAGGTTTGAAGGTCGAGGGAGAAGAGGGAGGGGAAGGAGGCGAGAGGTGCGAGGCAGGCCAGTAATTCGGCTGATTGAGGGTGAGGGTTCTGAGAGAAGGCCGGACAGAGGAGGATGGGGAGGCGAGGGAGGGGAGGGTGGAGGGGTGGGGGTTGAAGAGAGCGAGGGAGGTGAGGGAGGAGCAGCGGGGAAGGGCGACGGGCTGGGAGACGGGGAGGAGGAGGGAGAGGAAGCGCAGAGCTGGGAAGGCGTCGAGTGGAGCGAGGGAGGTCTGGTTGCTGTTATTGCTGCGAATCCAGCAGCGCTTCCATGGAGAGTCAAGCTTGAGAGTCGTCAAAAGGCTGATGGGGGGAAAGAGACGGAGGGGGTGGGAATGGGGGGAGCGAAAAAGGGGAAGGAAAGAGGAACAGGAGAAAGCTGAATGAGTCCCGGTTTGTGTTCCAGAAAAAGTGAGAGGGGTTGGGACTGAGTGGGGTTGAGAGTAGGGGCGAGAGAAAGGGTTCCAGCAGGGGAACGGGGGGTGGAGAGGGGAATGGAGCAGGGGGGACTGGAGGGGGGAAGAGGCAAGAGAGCAAGGAGGGAGGGGGCATACCAGAGAAAGGGGGGAGAGAACAGGGGAAAAGGTAAGAAGAGGGGAGGGGAGGGGACATAGAACTGGGAAGAGAGGGAAGAAGAGAAGGTGAGGCGAGTGGACAGGGCCAGAGAGGAAACACACAAGAGGCGGAGAGCCAAGGGGGGAAATGGGGGGAACACGGGGGATTGAGGGGGGAGCATGCAGGGGAAAGAGGGGGGAGCGGGGAAACAGAGGGGAGATCGTAGGGCAACGAGGGGAAATCGGGCGCTGAGGGGAGGAATGCAGCCGGGGGGTGGGGAGGGGGCAAGGGGAAGGGAGGACGAGGGCAGAGGGCGAGCGGCTGGAAAGAGGGAAAATGAAGAGGGGAAGGACCCACAAGGGAAGGTGGGGAGAGAGGGAGAGATCAGGGTGGGAGAATGAGAAAGGGAAGGGCAGGAAGGGGGGGAGGGAGGGGGGCTGGCGGAAATAGAGGGAAGGACGAGGGAAGCAGGGGAAAGGGCAATGGGGGAAGGGGACGAGTGCAAGAAAAAATATAAAGCGAGCAGAAAGGGGGAGACAATGGGGGGATGGGAGACGAAGGGCGAAATGGGAGACGAAGGGCGAAATGGGAGACGAAGGGCGAAATGGGGGACGAAGGGCGAAATGGGGGACGAAGGGCGAAATGGGGGACGAAGGGCGAAATGGGGGACGAAGGGCGAAATGGGGGACGAAGGGCGAAATGGGGGACGAAGGGCGAAATGGGGGACGAAGGGCGAAATGGGGGACGAAGGGCGAAATGGGGGACGAAGGGCGAAATGGGGGACGAAGGGCGAAATGGGGGACGAAGGGGGAAAAGGAGGGAAGAGGAGGGAAAGGGGAAAGTGGGGGGGAAACCGGGAAAGAAGGGGGAAAGGGGGGAAGAAAGGGGAATGGGGGTAAAAGGGGGAAAGGGGGGAAGAGAGGGAAAAGGGGGGGAAGAAAGGGGGAAGGGAGGAAGAAAGCAGGGGCTGCGACCAGCGTTCAGCAACTCACGGGCATCGCTTTGCGAGCTTCCCTAGATCAGCATCGTTGAAGGACAAGGAAAAGAAGGTGGAAAACCCCTCCCACGTCGCCTCCACACTCAACCGCTCCAGTTTCGGGCACGCCGCGCCAATTTCCGCCAGCAGCTCGTTTCCCGCTAAATTCGAACGAACCTCCAGGGTCAGCTCACGAATATGGGTAAATACCCTCGAAAATCTATCCAGATTTTTGGACCACCCGTTTCTGTTGGGATTCGGAGAAAGTGAGACGAACTTGAGGCGGAGGGAGTGCGGCGTGCGGCGGGAGAGGCGGCGGAGGCGGGAGCAGGAGAGCGCGACGCTGCAGCGATCGTGGGAACGATCCAGACGGGTGAGTATTAGGGATAGGAGCTCGTCGGGGAGAGAAAGCAGAAGGGAGTTGTGCGGATCATCCTCGGGGGATGATTTGAGTCGTGAGCCTTTCATAATCGCGAGTTGGCACCGCGAGGAGGAGCAGTTAGGGTTACCACGGTGACAGCGAAGGCGGCCAAACGTGGTTGCGTGGTAACAGGTGCAGCGCAAGCTGAAGTGGAACGAAAGGTAGAATCAACAGACCAGCTAAGATAAACGCCGACTAAGACGCAGACCACATCTAGAGAGAGAGGTCGTACACCTGTCCTCCGGTATTTCCACACCCTTTATCTTCATGACATGGGGTACCTACCCTCTAAAAAAAACTAATTTCGAAGGTAGTTAGCAACGCTCGAAGAAATTTCGGGGATAATCTGACACAATCCCAATGCGAGCTTAACGCAGAAACAATCTGGCACTGGAATTTTCCCCACTTATTCGGATAACAAAGTTCGAGTATCGAAAGGACGGTACCTGATGGTTAGTTCCTGATAGACCCGCAATGTCAGGGCTTCCGTCTCCTCGAGCCTCAAACCATATAGGGTGTCTGGGAAATTTGAAAGTTCAGGGTGTGGAAATATCGGAGAACAGGTGTAATATGTCCGGTTAGACCGCGAGAGCCACTTGAGGTAATGTCGCCTCGCTTGTGATGCATCCACTACTAGGGCAACAGACTCCGCTGACCAGTATATTCCTTTGAAGCAGGCAAGGCATTCGGTAAAGAACCAATTTTAGAAAGTGTTTTTTACACTTCAAAAAAATCATTTCATTCAAGGTTACGCCCGCGTTACTATTTTCCCCATGAATCCTACATAGCGTCACCTCCAAAATTGTCAAATGGAGTTGCATGATGGAACCTCTAAGAATGGCCTCGTTTCTCCTTACAGTCATACAAGAATAGCTTACTTTCTTTTGTGGTGATTACTTTCTTTCTTGGCATAACAAAGACGACCGCAAAGCAGCATGAACTAGTGGTGTTAGTTACAGTAACTACGAGTTAATATTAAGAGCTTCCTTGGCTAGGAGAAACCCTAGCCTAGGAGCATATACTTAGTTACGAGAGGAAAACAGGATTTCCAAAAGAGGGCTTTCACTATCGAGGAAAGGGTACAAATAGAGAACAAACAAGCAAGGAAAGGTGTACCACCAACAGTTTATCATAATAACTACTGTAACTACAGCAGGCAGGATATAATATAATCTTGACACACCCCCTTAGTCTGCTCGCGGTAGGAACTTGTGCAGTCAACATCCCGTGAAGGAAGATGGCAGAGAGGTAAGGAAGGAGGAGAAAGGCAAGAGGAGAGGAGAGGAGAGGAGAGGAGGTGGGGGGCTTGCATGAGTGCGCACGCTCAATGCCAAGGGTACCCGCTTACGAACCTCCTTTTACAAAGGGGAGGTGAGAGAGGAAAGGGAAAGAAGGTGGGCTAGGTAGGCATGAGCGCGCACGCACAATGCGATCACCCCCCCCCCCCCCCCCCCTCCCCCGTTAATAACCCCCAAGTCCCGATGAGGAGAGGAGGTGGGCTAGGTGGGCATGAGCGCGCACGCTCAATGCGATCCCCCCCCCCCCCGTTAATAACCCCCAAGTCCTCACTGTCAAATTATATATGTAACATATATGTGTAGGTTGTAGTGGGGTAGCCAATATGGGGTATAGCCCCTTTAGGGTTTCATATTTGTACCCAACTTTGACCTAGTCCAATCATTCCTGCTAGTTCTTTCTGACATGGTATTCAGAGCAGAAGGTCCTTAGGACCTTAGGATCGATTTTTTTTAGGGCCCACCACCAACCGTTCGCGGTTACCATACCACACCCGCCTCCCTGACACTCTCAGTTCAGTCAGGGACCACTTCCTCGCCAAAGACCCTACCACTCTCACTCTAGCCGACTTCGAGCAGCAGCTCCTAGCAGCAGAAAAGAACATCCTCGCTGTAGGTGCTGCTCGTGGCACTCCTCGCACTCCCCTCTTTGAGGGGTGCTCCCCCTCCCCCCTTGCCCCCTCCTACGCCTCTGCTGCTGCTGCCGTCGACCTCCTCGGTGCTGAGAAGGTCGCAGCTGCTTCCGCTCCTAGT